AGATAGATAGATAGATAGATAGATAGATAGATAGATAGATAGATAGAAATAGATATAGACAGGCAGAGATAGAGATAAGTAAAATAGGTAGATAGAAAGATAGAGATAGGTGGAGACAGAGATGGAGGATAGACAGGTGGAAATAGAGAGATATATACAGACAGAGAGACAGAGACAGTCTGTATATATCTCTCTATTTCCATATAAATATATAGACAGATAAATAGAAATAGAAAGGAAGGAAGGAAGGAAGCAAGAAAGAAAGAAAGAAAGGAAGGAAGGAAGGAAGCAAGAAAAAAAGAAAGAAAGAAAGGAAGGAAGGAAGGAAGCAAGAAAAAAAGAAAGAAAGAAAGGATATCCAACAGCAAAGCTTCTGAGTTTATGTAATGATGAGACTACTGAGAAATGAGCTGGTTGTCTTGTTTTTCAGGCTGAGAGGTATTTGTGGGCCTGAGAAGAGTCATATTCCTCAGGGTCTTTGCTCTGGAATTTTGGACAAGGGGAAGAGGGTCAGCTCTGGGCATGAGTTCAAGCCTTGCTCCTTTACTCCAAGTGTGACCTTGGCTAAGTCATTATGTCCCTGTTTCTTCATCTGTAAATTTCATAAAAAACAAATCTGTGCCATAAAGAATGAGACCATGACTTATACTTTTCTTTTCAGCTGTTGAGTGTGAGAGTTGCTCCTTTTGAACCAGGTTTTTCTGCCTCTGGGAAAAAGCACTGTACAAATAAGAGTGAGCTACTGTACTATTTCCAAATGAAGATACAATAAGAAGGAATCCAATTATAACTATAAGCATGGAGATAAGAATTGGGAAGCTTTATAATTATGATATTAGTAAGAAGATGCAGAATGAATTTCATGCATTTTGGAATTGCAAGTCTCAAGGTTTTAGTGGATACTTACACAAAGATTTTGTAATTCATAAAGAGAGAGGATGGGACCATTATAATGATAATAGCTAGCATTGTCATTTGATCATTACAACAACCCTGGGAGTCAGGTGCTATTATTATCCCCATTTTACAGATGAGGAAACTGAGACAGAGTTAATTCAACAAGTCAACAAACACTTACTACATGCCAGGGACCATGCTAAGTGCTGGGAGTACAAACACTCAGAAAGAAAGACAGCCTCTGTTCTCAAGGAGTTTCCATTCTAACGAGTGAAGACAATCCAGAAAAGAAAGCTGAAAAGGGGTGAAGGTAGGGAGAATAGATAAGGGCACCTAGCACAGGAGCATGGTACAGAATGTCTGGAGTCAGGAGTGTAGTTTGGAGAAGAATGAAGACATGGTTGGCCTGGGAATCCTCCTTAAAATGGAGTTTCTGAGGAGAACCAGCTAGTCAGAGGAAGAGGCCATCAGGTCAGGTGGTACTTTCAATATGAGAAGTAGTTCATGGGTAGTATGACCTTCTTGAGTGGAGAGATTTCAATGACATGGTAGAGGATGTGCCGAGAGAATTCAGTGACTTGCTCAAGGTCACACAGCTAGAAGGTTAAGTGACTTTCCCAGGGTCACATTTCTAGTGATTGTCTGAGGCAGAATTTATACTCAGGTCTTCCTAACTTCTGGTCCAGTGCTCTATCTCCTGCCCCATTGAGCTGCCCCAACTTGGCATTCTAAATGATTGAGTCCTCTTGCAGAGCAAGGAAAATGGATGCCAAATTAAAGCCCTAACTTCTGCCCCTCACAGAAGAAAGATCCCATATTTGAATATCAGATCTAATTCATTCAACAAATATTTATTAAGCACCTACTGTATGTATGGGGAGAGCTAGGATGCTGCAAGAGCTAGGCTTGGGTTCACCTCAGACACTCACTGGCTGGGTGAGTTTGGGCAAGTTCCTTTCCTAAACTCTGAGTGCTACACACAGCTCTCTTAATATTCTCAATTATGGAGCAATTACAGATTTTCTCTGACAGAAAGTTTACTCATTGGAAATTCCCTGTAACAATGAAATCATAGGTCTCAAGAAAGAAATATGTAAAAGGTATAGACAGAGTCAGGAAAATACAGGTCCAAGTTCCAACTTCTATAACCCTGGGCAAATTCCCAAGCATTTGTATCTTAGGCACTCCGTCAGGCACTTATCTTTTAAGACGTTCCTTGAAGCTCTATAAAGAATGAAATTAGATAGAACTTTCATAATGGTAGAGGCAGCCTGGAGAGGCTAAGCTGCTTCTAGAAAGGTGGCAAAATCAGTAAGTCCAACTCAAGACAAGTGTATCCTGAGTTTTTGTGCCATAATGATTCAGTGCAATAAAAGAAAAGCCTAGAAGTCACTGGAAAATATCTTTAACAAAAAGATCTCCTTTTTTACCCCAAAAATAATCTTTCTATTTTTTAATCAACAATTTCTTTTTCAGGGTCTCTCTAGACAGTATGTGGATTCGATGAAAATCTATCTAGATCTTTTGCTTCTTTCTTTACCCTTTAACCTTTGGGAGATTTCTGTGTTCCACAGTAGGATGAGAGGGCTGAGCAATCTGAAATGAATGTTTAAAATAAGAGCCTTGAATCTGATTTATTATTAAATAGTACAATATTGAATGCCCATAGTTCACTAAGGTTCTTCCTCTCTCTGGTTTTTAGTTGGCTGTCCTTCTAGAGTCTGAAAGACATAGAGAGGTTACCAATAAGTCAGATAATCTATTAGAGTATTTTGTGATATAAATTTGAAAAAGTTTTCATAAATGTATTGTTTCATATGCATCTAAACAACTCATCAGAGAGTACATAATGAATGCTTATACTGTGTTTAGCTGGGTGCTGTAGTGGATAAAATAATTTTTCTCTTTTAATTTTTATGTTGAGTTTCAAAGTTTCCCTTATAGTCGACAGACAATGCAAATTGTAGTCATCATAGAATCACAGAAAACAAAAGGAAAATTGTACATCTGGCTTTTGGGCCCCCCCTCCACCTTATTCATTGCACATTTTTCCTGCAGGTAGCATCTTAATGGAATTCCAAGAACTATGATGCCAATGAATTAGGTTCATTTTTCTCTCCATTCAGATTTACTGAAAAGGGTGGAGCAGGCAACAGTAAATTAATTGCTTTCCATCTCAGTCTTGGCATACATCCCTTATTGCTGTAAGTGTTCACTGAATAACTACAAGGTATATTATACAAGGATGAGGCGTTTGAGAAAGTGACATGGTGAAAGTTCATATGTTGAAGTAGCAAAGAACCCTCTAAAGCTAACTCCTCAGCCTGTGCTGTAGTCACAATTTTTGTTCCCGAGGTATATTGTTTCCAAACTTTTCTCCTCGCACTATAACACAATCAGATTCTCATTGTTTTAATTTTGCCAAAAACACAGAGGTCTTTCCTGTCTTTAAAAAAAAAAAGTCCTTTTGTTTGATCCTGCTACCCCCTTCAGCTACTAGTTGTTTATTGTGCTAGGTTCTGAGGATACAAAGATAAAAAAAAAAAAATGGCACTTTCCCTTAAGAACCTTTTAGGTGAGAGATATACACAAGATAAGTATGTTACAAAGATAAGAAATGTTGGAACAAAACAGTGTTCTAATGAAGTTTGAGAAGCAGAAGAGGGCTTTTAGGTGTAGGAATCAGAAAAGTCTACAGGGAGGAGGTGGTCCCTATAACCAACCTTTGGCCATAATCCTGGGCAGGAGAGAATCTTGGTTCAAGCCCATCCCTCAGATTTCTCTGCTTCCTGTGGATGTGGCCAGGGGCTGATTATATACCTGAGATCAGTCTTGAAAGAAGAAAGGGATTCTGAAAGACAAGGAAGGATGGAGAGGCAGCTAGTTGGCTAAGTCTAGCACGTTGAGGGGCCAAGAGAGTTTAGAAAAATTTGGCTACCACTATCCAATGGTAGAAGCATAGTTTTTAGAACTGAAATAGACCTTAGATATCATCTATACTCTTGGTTTAGTCCAGGGGTGGGGAACCTGTGGCCTGGAGGCCACATGTGGCCCTCTAGGTCCTCAAGTGGGGCCCTTTGACTGAATCTAGAATTTGTTCTGTGAAGTTTGGATTTAGTCAAAGGACTGCACGTGAGGACCTAGAGGGCCACATGCGGCCTCGAGGCCACAGGTTCCTCACCCCTGGTTAGTCTATTGTTTCCCACTTGACATACAGATTTTTGGCTAACACTGATTAATAAAATGATTTCATATTAACAAAAGTGAATTTAGAGAAAACTCTGTTTCCTTCTTCCTTAGGTGATTCCATATGTTGGTACACTTTCTGAGGAGCTGGGGCCTGGGAAGTTGGTTGTCATCCATGGTCATATGCCCAGTGATGCAGACAGGTAACCCTCTCTCCTGATGTATAACCTGGTTAGGGTCCTCTGCCTTGCTTACGTTAGATGGGAAAAGACAAGGAAGAAATTGAAGAACCCTGTCTACTCTTTGGTAATACTATTTGATTTCAAAATTCTTTTTTCCTGGATGATGACATAGGGCTAGAAGACCGGGGGAGGGGGAAGGGGAGGGTTAAGGAAGCAAAGTACAAGGTTTGAAACTATCTTCTTCTCTTCCTAAAAGACAAAAGGCCTGCCTCATGCTCTTCTCCAAATAGGTTCCAGGTGGATTTCCAATGTGGCAGCAGCGTGAAGCCCCGAGCCGATGTAGCCTTCCACTTTAACCCGAGGTTCAAAAGGTCAGGCCACATTGTATGCAACACCCTGATGAAGGAGAAATGGGGATGGGAAGAGATCACCTATGAGATGCCTTTTGAAAAAGGAAAACCTTTTGAGATCATGATTATGGTACTGAAGGACAAGTTCCAGGTCAGTTTGAGGGAAAGAGAAATTATTTACTTACCCCCCAGTAGAGGATCTTCATAGCATCGTGCATTTAGAGTTGGAAACAGCCCTAAAGGTGACCTAGTCCAATGTCCTCATTCTCCAGGTAAAGAAAAGGCGACCATGACAGGTACAAGGACTTGCCCCCAGTGGCATCATAATGTCATAGGCTGGATTTCAACCCAGATTTTTTGACACCAAGTCTAAATAAATTCATAGGGAAGATTTTCAGTAAGTTCAGTCTATAACTTAATGAATTTGCTACTCTAAGCTAGCTTTGGAATATGTTCCCTAAAGGGTTGTTGTGGGTAGATCCTTTTGTTTTCAGCTGACTGAATGCCCTAGGGAAGGGTGATTTTGTCAAACATATGTTTCAGAGTTGAGGATGAAGGTGGGAGGCAAGAAAATGGAAAAATTTTTTACATTCTGGACATTAAATTCTGAATCTCTTCAACAGCCTTTTGCAAAGGAACTCACCTTAATTATTAAACATACTTCTAATTTTGACTTTTATTCTTTTAATTTTGTTTATCTCTTTGTCCATAAAGATTCCCCTTCCCTAAATTCTTTCATTGGAAAAACTTAGAAACTTTTCCTTAAATTAGCCCAAAGTAGGTATATCCCATTGTAAATTATTTTCTTTAATGCTATTATTTCCTAATGCCACAATCCTTCAATATAACCCTTCATGGTGGCAAAGAAAAAGAAGAAGCAAAACAAATTAATACCTTGACTATGTCTAAGACCATAGGCCTCATTCCCACCTATAGTCCACCATCTCTCTGCTGGGAGGAGGGAGTTATATTCCATTGTCTGTCCTCTGGAGTCAAGATTGCTCAGTACCCTGATCCAAGTTCTTAAGTATTTTCTGATTGTTTTCCTTTACATTACCGTAGTTATTGTGTAAGTTGTGCTCTTGGCTCTTCTTACCTGGTTCTGGACCTGATTTCTTTTAGGTGCTGTTTAATTATGGAGGGTCTATAATAGTGTGCTAGGCATTTTCATGGATAAGAGCTCTCTTTTTTCTAGGACCTTACCATCTTGGGCAACATAAGTTCATAGCACATTAGGTCTGGAAGGGACCTTAGACATTGTGTGGGCTAATCCCCTCATTTTAAAGCTAAGGAAACAAATACATAGAGAGGTAAAGTGAATTAATTTCTAATACTCCCCCTAAAATACTCATTTCTAAATGGGAGTAAAAAAAGAAGTAAAGTGTTGCCCAACTATCTATAGCTTCCATCACGGTCTCCAATGCAGTCCAGATGATGCCTGCCAAGTTATGACCTGGATGATTTACAACTTACACATCAAAAGAAAATCTATTCTTGAGAGGCATTTCATATTATACATCTTGTTCAAAATGAGCCGAATCTTTATTCTGCTAATGCATGGCTTTAATAAGCCTTGCAGAATTACCCAATGACTTAGCTTAGTGTCACAGAACATTGTGTTAGTAAGTTGGCAGGCTGCACCCCTATGAATATAAGGTAGCTTCCCATTGCACAGCCAGAGGTAGTAGTCTTAATCCTAGCCAGCCAGGGATTAATTCTACTTTATTAATCCGGAGAGCTCACTCAGCACACTCCATTACTACTTTTAGGTTCAGTTTTTCCTTTCATTGAACCTGAACCTGTATCTTTGCAAGTTCTTCCCTTTGTCTCTACCTGTGCCCTCTAGGCCCAAACAGAACAATTGGATCTCTATTTTACATGAATGCCCTTCAAGCAGATCAATCCCTTTTGAAGTCACAGCTGCCATCCCTTCTGTGTGGTCGTCCAGGCTGAACACTCTCATTTCCTTCATGTGACCCATATATGGAACAGACTCAAGGTTCCCTCACGATCCTGGTCTCCTTCCTCTGGACTCATTCCAGTTTGTCAATGTTCTGCCTCAAATGTGATGCCTAAAGCTGAATACGCAATTTGTGGTCTGTCCAAGGCAAAGTATATATAACAGGGTGAGCACCTCTCTTATTTTGGACATCATGTCCTTGCTAACGTAGCTCAGGCTTGCATTAGGTTGTCTTTTTTTGTTTTGTTTTGTTTTGTTTTGTTTTTTGGCTGTCGTATGTTACTGCAGACTCACAGTGAACTTGAAATCCATTATCCCTGTGTGTGAAGGGCAAAACATTTGAAAAGTCATTGATTAGACTTAACTCCTCCAAACAGTATTCTGTTGGCAGCAGATAAATGTATGCTTGTGCTGTCTTATAAAGAATATTATTACACTAGACACACTATGAAAGTATTTGCCACAGCATTCTATTACATTTGCATCCATTTTATGTGTGTCTGATT